GGCTATGGCACGCAAATAAGGTGATCTCAGAGATTTGATGCTTCTGTAATTGAAGTGGAGATTTAGTGACACCATAGTAGCGGCCGGACTACAAGATGGATCTCTTTTATTTCTGCATATTAATGAACAACAAAAACTAGATCTTATTCACAAACTTCATATCCCTCCAATAACCGTCGACCAACCAATATTGCGATTACGGTGCGTTCAACTCTATTTGTTGCTTTGTGTTCGTACCATTCCTATTCTTCCTTATAGATTCAACCCTATAGAAAAAAATATTCTGGCTATTGCTGGAAGCGATGGAACATTACGGATATTACGGCTGCAAATGTAGTCACAAGAGTTGTTATCACACATTGTTATTGGATTTGTTATTGTTGATGAACTATTATGTTAAGAACTGGAAGCTCTCAAATACTTGGCCTTGTTATTCTCAAAAATCTAAAAAGCGTTGAGATCTGATCTTTATCAACCGCTTATTTTCACCATTTCCATTCAAAATGTATACAAAGTGCACGGGTATGCATAAACAATAACAAGTTATAATGTATACAAAAATATGCTAGAGTTCTTCCCCATTAGTCACTGTGTTCAGAGTTGTCAGTCTAAAGTGAAGCTGATAAATCTACACTCCAGAAACTAAGGAAAGACACTAACCTCCTCTCTCACTTCTTTCTTAACATCCTTCTCCCCTTTCTCTTTTGGTCGCAGAGGTTTGTCGTCATCATCATCGGAATCATCGCTGTCAGAAATGTATTCCTTAGATTTTGCTTTCAGTGGAGATCTGCAACCAAACACAAAAATCAAATGATCCGAATTACTATGGTACCAACTGAAAACATCGAGACTTACGGTCCAGAAGATTTCTTTGCACTGCTTGAATCAGCTGTTGACGAGGCTGGTTTGGAACCGCCACTCTTCTTGTACTCTTTCATCTCACTCTCATAACGATTTCGATCAGCGGCTGCTTTCTTCTCCCAAGGCTAAATGGCGAATTTTGGTAATTGGCGCCAAAATCAACTATTTTTACCTCTTTTGCCTCGGCGTCCATATTCTTCCACATTTCTCCAGCACGTTTAGCCA